ATGACGTTAAAACAGGGTTTTATGTCGTTACAAGTGGGTTTTTTAACATTATCTAGTATAGTAAAATCGTGAGACCGATAAAAATTTGATGTTATATTAGGGTTGTCGTTACATCCGATGTCGTTATAATCGGGTTAAACTGTATTTCATTGAAATTCAGTAAGATGCAGACATATAGTCCATTTACCCTAACATAGTGCATGGCTGGAAAAAGAGGTTCAATTGCCTTTTCTCTCTGATAGATAAAATATATCCTTCCATGGTTTCTCATTCTTGTAACATGACTGATCAAAAACTTAGTGAAAAGTAAACATCAAAGAAATTTTACATTAAGAAATTAATTAATTGTTTAGATGAGTAAATAATTTTAAATTCATGTAATCGATTTCCAATTAAATCCTTCCCTCATATCACTAACATTGGCCATATTAACTGTAAAAAATGAACAACAAGGTGGAGCATATTGCTATTCAACCAAAAACATAGTTAATTAAAATACAAAAACATTAAATATATATTTATATCGTTTTCTCTATTTGTAAATTTCATTCTTTTAATTACTACCACTGACGATTAAATAATTTTGAAAGATATCATTATTTGTTACGAATTAAAAGTTTTAGAGAGACCTATTTCAATAGTCCAATTTTGTATCGTACTTTTCACATGAAAATATTTATTTTTTACTATCGAAGTGGTTACTGACACAACAAGGAAAAGTAAGTCGGCATTTCACTAAGGATCGAGATGGTTTTAATGTCAATAGCAAAAGGGCAACTATTATAAATAAAATATTGGCAATATTCATCGATGCGATTCACGACCGTATTCCATTGTTCAAGATAAAGAAGTTGTGCAATTTATACACGAATTAGAAACAAGATATAAACTACACTCACCAAAATTTATCGGCAACATACTTGGACCCAACTTATACAAAGAGTGTAAAGATTGACGGCCGGATGGACGAGCGGTCAAGGTGTCTACCACTCTGGGGGACCCGGAATCGAATCTTGGCGGGTGGAAAAATTTACAAGAATTTTTCGGGGGGTGGTCCGACCGGATATGTCGGGCCCGTCCCTAATCACCCGGCCGCCCCATTGTGGGTCTGGCCAAACCCGTAACGGGCTTGCTAAAGGAGGCCCTCTAAGGGCGGAAAGAGTTGAAAAACCTCTTAAATCACGTATTCCTTGTGGTTACTTGATGTTTACTATGCGTTTTTGTTTATTTATTTATTATTTTTAATATGCGTAGTTAAAAATACAGTATTTTGAATTTAAAAACTGTACATTTAATTTTGAAACATTTACATTGTATTCTAGAACCCTATAACCTATACAAAAGAGAAGTCGAAGACATTAGTGTAATAAAAACTGTTTTCTCGGCAAACAATAGGTGGGATAGTGATTTGATGTGTTTTAACGAAAAAAATATTTTAACATAAAGAAAACGTATTGCATAAAAAATTAGGAAAAAAAACTACGTAGAAAAAATTAAAGTAATTATTTAAATTATAAACCAAATGGAAACTAGATCTAATTTAAAAAAAAAAGAATGAAATGGCAACACTGCCTACGAAATCGAAACTGCGTTCCCGCCAACGGTTTTCGGTTTGTGTTATAACGAGAAGGTACGGCACGTCCGCGGAAGCGATAGGCCGACAAGGGACGAAGGGTCGGAGGGGCTACAAGTAGCTTTATGAACTATTTAAAGATAAATTTAAATCCAAAAGACCCACAAAAATCCATTTAAATCTCGTCCACTTTCAGACATAGAAAAATTCTTACAATTACAATTTTTTAAGTTATACAGTACATATTAAGACTTGGGAACAAAACTGGCTAGACCTGGCACATTTTGGTCTATCTAAGACAGTGTTTCCCAACGTGGGGCCCACGCTCCACAGGGGGTAATTGTATTGTTAAGGGGCAATTCAAAAATGGACTCGTCCAGAGTTTAAGTTAACTGTATAGCTGCTGTATATGTTAGGGGGGCATAGGAATTTTAGAAAGGCTTAGGTGGGGCATAGCACAAAAAATCTTGGGAAACACTGATCTAGGTCCTTATGCCACCAACTCTAATCAACCTATAAAAATTCTTTAATTATTTATATACATATACAAAATCAAAGTTCTCGATTAGTTGTACGGATGAGTTTGTTAGGTAAATTAAAACACTTACATTTCAACACTGTAGATAGCATAGCTTTTATAAAATACGGCTCTCTACAACCAATAACCAGTGCGAAGTACGATTGTCTTGAATAACAAACGTTTCATAACTGCTTCTGAGTTTTTCCTCGGGTTTTCTAAATTCTTTTAATAGCTTCTGTTGATGTAATTAGTATGCATTATTGATGGATACATATCATTCTAGAAACATTACACAAAAATAAGTGCCCAGATTGGTTAAAAACTTAATACGGTTAATCAAATATAAACAATTACTTTTCTTATTACAGTATGTTTTTCTGTTAGCTAGTAGGTTGTGTAACAAATGAAACAAAAGTAAAAACTGTCCTGCGTGCACTTTCACCCTCGTGAAGTGCACATAGGACAGTTTTTACTTTTGTTTCGCAATCCATCAATTTTTTGACTGCCACGACCCCCTTTACACCTGTCCAGTTAATTTTAATAAGAGGATGGTGGGAAACACACCACTTGTGTTTAGTACTCTGCGATCTTCTGGGTGTGCTTGGCATCGGAAAGACCTAGTGCGTGCTGTTGCTCTACAGACGTATCTGTTTGTACTCTGTGATTTTTGATAATATCAGCGGAACTTTTGGATTTACGGACTAATTATATCATCATGTGCAGGAGCTCACCCTGGTTCGTTTGACCTCGATTTTATGTCTCTACGTTAAGAGATTAAAATATTTATTCAGCCGAACAATTAATTAAATCATGTAATCGATTTCCAAATGAATTCTTCACTCCTATCGCTAACGTCGACCATATTAGAAATGTTGCGGCCAACGTTTTCAATGCGAAAACGTTTACGTCGGACGTTCAGCGCCGCCTTCCTGTGAGTCTAGAAGTTTGACAGTGGCGTTTGGAACGTCGAGCATGATTCCACTGACGTTCCAAATGCCACTGTCAAACTTCTAGGCTCACAGGAAGGCGGCGCTGAACGTCCGACGTACTGTACACGTTTTCGGCCGCAACCTCTCTATTAACTGGGAAAAACGAACAAGACGGAGAGTATTGCTATTCAACCAATCATTGAAAACATAGTTAATTAAAATACAAAAACGTTAAATATATATTTATATCGTTTTCTCTATTTGTAAATTTCATTCTTTTAATTACTACCACTGACGATTAAATAATTTTGAAAGATATCATTATTTGTTACGAATTAAAAGTTTTAGAGAGACNGCTCACAAATTGGTGCAGCGGAAGTGGGGTTTGAATCAAGAAATCCCTAGAATCCTCACAAATATGACGTTAAAACAGGGTTTTATGTCGTTACAAGTGGGTTTTTTAACATTATCTAGTATAGTAAAATCGTGAGACCGATAAAAATTTGATGTTATATTAGGGTTGTCGTTACATCCGATGTCGTTATAATCGGGTTAAACTGTATTTCATTGAAATTCAGTAAGATGCAGACATATAGTCCATTTACCCTAACATAGTGCATGGCTGGAAAAAGAGGTTCAATTGCCTTTTCTCTCTGATAGATAAAATATATCCTTCCATGGTTTCTCATTCTTGTAACATGACTGATCAAAAACTTAGTGAAAAGTAAACATCAAAGAAATTTTACATTAAGAAATTAATTAATTGTTTAGATGAGTAAATAATTTTAAATTCATGTAATCGATTTCCAATTAAATCCTTCCCTCATATCACTAACATTGGCCATATTAACTGTAAAAAATGAACAACAAGGTGGAGCATATTGCTATTCAACCAAAAACATAGTTAATTAAAATACAAAAACATTAAATATATATTTATATCGTTTTCTCTATTTGTAAATTTCATTCTTTTAATTACTACCACTGACGATTAAATAATTTTGAAAGATATCATTATTTGTTACGAATTAAAAGTTTTAGAGAGACCTATTTCAATAGTCCAATTTTGTATCGTACTTTTCACATGAAAATATTTATTTTTTACTATCGAAGTGGTTACTGACACAACAAGGAAAAGTAAGTCGGCATTTCACTAAGGATCGAGATGGTTTTAATGTCAATAGCAAAAGGGCAACTATTATAAATAAAATATTGGCAATATTCATCGATGCGATTCACGACCGTATTCCATTGTTCAAGATAAAGAAGTTGTGCAATTTATACACGAATTAGAAACAAGATATAAACTACACTCACCAAAATTTATCGGCAACATACTTGGACCCAACTTATACAAAGAGTGTAAAGATTGACGGCCGGATGGACGAGCGGTCAAGGTGTCTACCACTCTGGGGGACCCGGAATCGAATCTTGGCGGGTGGAAAAATTTACAAGAATTTTTCGGGGGGTGGTCCGACCGGATATGTCGGGCCCGTCCCTAATCACCCGGCCGCCCCATTGTGGGTCTGGCCAAACCCGTAACGGGCTTGCTAAAGGAGGCCCTCTAAGGGCGGAAAGAGTTGAAAAACCTCTTAAATCACGTATTCCTTGTGGTTACTTGATGTTTACTATGCGTTTTTGTTTATTTATTTATTATTTTTAATATGCGTAGTTAAAAATACAGTATTTTGAATTTAAAAACTGTACATTTAATTTTGAAACATTTACATTGTATTCTAGAACCCTATAACCTATACAAAAGAGAAGTCGAAGACATTAGTGTAATAAAAACTGTTTTCTCGGCAAACAATAGGTGGGATAGTGATTTGATGTGTTTTAACGAAAAAAATATTTTAACATAAAGAAAACGTATTGCATAAAAAATTAGGAAAAAAAACTACGTAGAAAAAATTAAAGTAATTATTTAAATTATAAACCAAATGGAAACTAGATCTAATTTAAAAAAAAAAGAATGAAATGGCAACACTGCCTACGAAATCGAAACTGCGTTCCCGCCAACGGTTTTCGGTTTGTGTTATAACGAGAAGGTACGGCACGTCCGCAGAAGCGATAGGCCGACAAGGGACCGAAGGGTCGGAGGTGAGTATTGATTGGAATTTCCTCTTAATTCTCTGGCATTTTGGCGGTAACTAAGCCGACGCGACGTATTATCGGTCGGTCTGATCCGTCTATTTATTTGTAAAACTTACTGGTAATTCGGAAATTACACTCTTTCGTGTCCTTAACTTGAAATTTGCCCAGAGTCCACCTCGTGACTTCGTTAATAAATATTTAATTGTGTAAATTTTGTATTCGATTGTAGATAGATTGGTACTTACCTTTTAATTAATTGGACGCCGGTCGATATCTAAGGCATCCGTGTACAGAAATGGCTATTATGTATGAAGTACGTCTGAGAAACATGGACGAATACAGAAATTAGCAAATAAACTTACAAATAGGATTCTCTTTGTTACGTGGGAGGCGTAATGCTGCGGATTTTGTTTAACGGTGCCAAAAATGCTGTGATTTTTATTTTTGAACTTTAATTATTGTTTTATGGTGTTTTTCAAAAGTGTATAACATTTTACTGCTTTTTCTTTACTTCACAACTGGGTGCATATGTAAACTGAGTATCTTTAACGTCTGTTTTTATTTGGGAATATCTTATGCACTATACGTGTTTCGGGCATAAGTCCCTTTTCTGTTGGCTTTTTCTTTGAGACGTTTGGTAAAGAGGTGCCGACTGATACACATCTTTTTTTAAAATGTGTATACGGTCGAGTCCGCGTAAGTCGATACCTCAAGGGAAAGTGGAAATGTGTCGAGTTATCCGATGTGACGACTAAAACGAAGTTGAAAAAACCACAAAATTACAATTAGGAAAATACAGTAGTGCAATGTATCTCTCTGACCATCCATGACTGGCACTAAAGTTGGTTTTGGCAATTTCCATTGCCTTACATTTTTGGTATTGGCCCCAAAATGGGAAGATTTCAAGGAACAAATTTGCTTTAGCCAAAGTACCGGAGCATTTTTGACGTCTTTGTATGGCGACTTTCTCTGGTGTTTTTGAGACAGCTGCCAGAAAGACTGAAGAAGGTTTCTTAATTTCCTCTTTTTTTCTTCAGAATTCCCACCAATGTGTTCTTAGGAGGTTTTCTTGTTTTGCAAATTCAGCTTGCAAAGTTTCATTACATTCAAATTCAGATACAAGTTTGTATTATTCCCTTAGCATAAGTGTTATGTCCTGGATACTAATTTCTAACAGAAATGTGAAACATTTGCTGCAAATAACGCATGAATGAAAGGTGAGAAAATGCAAGATTGGATTCTGCTGTGATGTTAAGCTGTGTGGTGTGTGTTTTTTTTTTTTTTTTTTCTTTTTTGTTTGGGAGGGGAGTCGACTTATCGGACATCTAAACAACTGTGGGACAGAAAATGTATGTCAATTTTATCTGGTGGTGACAAGTTAAATGATGTCTAGTGAACCTGAGTTTTTTAACATTAATGCCTATGTAAGTCGGCTTGGACCACAGAAAACTAACTACTTAAGGAAAACTGGTAAAAACGAATACCACTGAACAACACTTAGTCTTCATTGGCTGTCAGGAAATTTTAACTGTAGATATGCATTTTTAAAAAGGATACATGTGTATTAGTCAGCACCTCTCTATCAAATGTCTTAAAGAAAATGCCGATGGTAGAAGGGTGCATGCCCAAAACATGTATTGTGCGTAACATATTTTCGAATAAAGATTAATGTTAAAAATGGCCAGTGTCTATCAATGTACCAACTTGTGAAGAAAGAATTAAAAGAAGACAGTTTTGCAAAAAAGTTAATTTTACTGCTTTTTAGAATTGTTAGGAATTTAAGAGAAATGTAAATGATTTCATTTGTATATGCAAATTATTTATATTAATTTTTGATAATTTTAAAAATAGATTATTATATTAATAATTTAACAACAAAAATTATATTTTTGGCTGTCTCAAAAATATAAATAATAGAATTGCAAAATTTGAAGCATATTTTAAGAAACTTAAAATTATAAAAATAAATGACTCCAGGTAATGCTTTTACTTTGTTGTCGAGTGGTAATTTAAATATGGAATCAAAAATTTCCGAAATTCCATGTGGAAGAGATTTTAGTATGGAAATTAAAAGCAGAATGCTGTAGCGTTCAGGAAATTGCTGTTTTAATGAACGATGTATCTACTTCTGGAATTTATAAAATTTTGGAAAAATTGTCACTGATACCTTCTGAGCATCGATCAGTAAGGCCCAAAATCATATCTCGAAGGGACGATAAATAAGTTGTACATCTTGCGTGGCAACAGGATAAATCGGTCTGTCAAATTTTTTGTGAAAAGTGGATTAAAATATCAAAATGCATCATTCGTCCAAGAATTTTGGCAGCTTCATGTATGAAATTTGATCCCTCGATGAAAAAACCATCACTAACAAAATGACAAATTGGGAAAAATGTAGTGAGGTAAAGATCACATGCAGTGGAATGACCAGTGGCTTTCTTTTTCAGTGATGAAAAGAAATTTAATTTGTATGGTCTAATTACTGGCATGATATTAGGAAAGAAGAGTGCAGTGGCTTTCTTTTTCAGTGATGAAAAGAAATTTAATTTGTATGGTCTAATTACTGGCATGATATTAGGAAAGAAGAGTGCAGTATTTTACCAGGAAACTGGGTGGTGGTTCTGTTATGGTGTGGAGCTGCTTTGGGTTTAATGATTTATCAAACTTAGTGATTTTAACTGATACATTTAAGTTATCAAGAAGTCCTAAAAAATAATTTATAACCCATTGGAGATAGAATTGGAATATGATTGGATTGTCCAACAGGATAATGCCAGTATTCATTGTTAATGCTTAACAACTAAGTGGTTCGAGTACTGTACATATTATTCAAGTTACGAAGTGGCAGGCAAGAAGCCCATAGGATTAATGGCATATTCTTGATCGAAAGATTTTTGCTAGTATAGTATTTTACGATGGGTTTCAGAGCTTAAACAAGAAATCATTGGGTGCCAGTTTCAAATGGATCCAGAAATGTTGGTCATTAATTTAATCAAATTTTGAATTTATTTTTTAAATCTATAAGCATAATCGTAGTTTTATATAAAAACAATCTTCATTAATTTATGTTATGAACAATTGCTCAAAGTTTAAACTTGCCTCTATTTTTGGGAAATCATAAAATAAGTATTTTGTGTTTAACACTTTATTTAACTGTCAAATATTTTGTAAAAACAATTATATAACATTGTATTGCGCTATATATAAATAATAATAACCACTGGCATTGTTAAGAAATAATTAATATTTAAAAAAAATAAACACACATAATCTATATTTTTGGGGGACACTATTAAATCTACTTTCCCATTATGTCAATAAGACAGTGGGATTGCAAATCGGATTACAATTATAACTGGTGTTTCGCTAACAGAAAAGAACCAATTTTATTATGTTACATAAATTGTAGAACATCAGATTGATTTCTTATAAGTCTTTAAAAAAATATTACAGAAAGTAAAATCTCAACAAAATGAAAGAAATTTCAAAGAAAATTTTACTTTTAGAAGTCCAAAAGCATTTTTAAAGCATTTGTCATGTCTCCACCGATTAGTTTTATCATGGCCAATACAATTCGGAATTGCATGGTAATGCTTATTTGTTTGTTAATTTCTGTGTTGTCAAAGACTTACTGAAAAAGTAATAGTCTTTACATTCTGCATATGTAGGAAAGAAAAACGTTTTTTTCTTTTAAGCCATCCCCAATGACTGTCATGGGTTCAAACGTTACCAGTAATTTTTTTTATAGTAAAGAGATTAGTACAAGGAGGATTTATAGGTTTAACACTTTGCTTTAAATCTAATCATGTTTCATTTCCTGACAAATCAGCTGAAAAATTAACTTCAGTTGTCAAAATTATTTTCCTATGTGAAACTGACTGTGCTTTCTTTTAAATTCCGAATACAGGCATACCTCGACTTACGTCGTTTTGAGTTACGTTGTTCCCGATTATACGTCGTTTGTCAAAAAAGTACAGGTAACCCCCGTATAACACGGCACTTCTATAGCACGGATTCGCTCTAACACGGTTCGAGAATTGGTACCATCCCCCGTATAACACGGTACTTTTATAGCACGGATTCACTCTGATACGGTTCGAGAATTGGGTAAAACCCTCGTCAACAGGAAATGTAATAAATTTTTACATACTTAACTAATAATAGTTCACAAAAATTGTTATTTTCGTGAACTATTAGTACTTAAGTATGTAAATTTTCTCTTCTCGCCTTCTGTCGATACAGGTGGTCCT